TATATCTGATGGATTTGAGATAACTTGCGGACGCATACTCAAGGTGCACGGCAAGGTACCTGTCTGTTAATTCCTTAGTCTTTATAAGCAAACATTTGTTCGTCGAACTCTTCTTCCATGTTCTTGGATAAAATTTGTCATCACTCTGTTTCTTTTCGTTTGTCTTCTTTGGCATCCCCACCTCCTTTTTGTGTGGAAGATTGTCTGTTGGCCCTGCCAGACAAATTTATAATCATTTATAATCTTCTCGGGATAAAACGAATATGGGCCGGCGAAGTGTCTTAAGTGTCTCTGGCAAATCCAAAGAATGCTATCTTCAACCAAGGGTGGGTTGACTACAAAATTTTTGTAGTTCGCTATAATTACAGCTACTTCAAAAATATGTAGTCAGCTCCAACTACAGTACCGCTACTTTTGAACAAAGGTAGTTCGCTACCGACTACAGCTACTGCTTAAAAAATGTAGCGAACTATTTCGCTATTTCGCTACACCATATTTTTTAGTTTTACTGTATTTAGAGCATCTACTAACTCAGGCTGAAATGTAACTTTTAACAAATCGACTTACGAGTAGCAACAATAAACACAAAACAACATTTTTTTCTAAGCAATACAGTGTTCAGGAGTGCAAATTGACTATTGAGTATTCATTTTAAGCAAACCATGTCTCAATATCATGCTATTCTATCAAGTTGCTAACAATTTTGAAAAGTAGCGAATAGCGATTCGCTGTTTGAAAAGTAGTCAACTACTTGGCTACTTTTAGGCAAAATGTAGTTCGCTATAACTACAGCTACTATTTTAAAAAAGTAGTCAAAAATTACTGGCTACTTGAAAATTGTAGTTCGCTACAGTAGCGAACTACAACTACTTCGCTACTACCCACCCTTGTCTTCAACACACCGATTGCTCGCTTGTATGCGTATTCTGCAACGCATACCTTTAAAGAAAGGCTCTACGCTTAATGTTGTCAGGCTTGTGAAGCGAATCTTGAATTGTTGGCCCATTCCTCATGGTTAATCTCCATCAGCGTGTTTAGTAGACTGGTGAGGGAGTCTAATATACCATTTCAAAAGATTGCCTCGTTCGCGGTATAACCATGCCTGGGCCGTTTGTATTTATCCCCCGGTTCTAACTGTAGCTTCGTTCTCTAGATTAGCAAAAAAGGCAGCAACTTCCTGTACAATTCTCAGGTAGTCGTTGTATGTTATAGGTAACTTCTACTGTTCTGCTTTTCTAACAAGCCTAAACAGATTTGCGTATTTAGCCATTTCTTGTTGGATTGGTATCAGTCCTACTGCTGAAATGACATTGATCCTTCGAGATCCTTATCCATAACAAGTACTTTTGAAACGCCTGGGTACTGAGTACACTCCTTTTGCAGGCTTTTTAATAATTCTAGAATTCTACATGTTTCATTGTTCATCACTTTTCTCTCTCCTTGGTTCTTGTGCTTTTTTCCAATTTCCTAACTTTTTCCTTGAATAATATTTTATAAATATGTTTCAGTTTGCCTCAATATCTGCCACGGCTGGGTTTTGCAACCCCAACTGAGCTACACGGTCAGACGGATTTAAGACTGGAAATTATGAAATACTCACTCGAGAACATTTTCAACTTAAAAGTTAAAGAAGCGGTTACTCGAGTTTCACGCTCAGCCCAGCTGGCGATCATATAAATATATTATTATGTCTTAACTAAAGAAAACTTCAGGTGCTAACAGTAAAATTACAATGACAAGGATTATGAACAAATTAAGTTACTATATTACAGACACAGACGAGTTTAGGCGATTTTGCGCGCCATCTTTCCTTCCTTCCCTTATTGCAAGGAGGGTTAGGCCTGGCGCGAGCAAAGGCTGGCAGAGCCTGGGCTTTCAATTATGTGATTAGCTTACTGTTCTCAGAAATGAACCATAATCTGATCAATAGACTTTCTCTTCAAATCAGGAACTGTTGCATCTGCAGTTGGAAACCCAACTGGTAAAAGTAGAAGCAGCTTCTCGTTAACTGGTCTTTCCAATAAAACACGCAGTCTGGGTCCACAGTTTAATGGTGTTGTAGTGACAGTGACCAGACCAGCATGATGAAGTGCAGTCATTAGGATACCAGCTGCAATACATGTGCTTATCTCATTATAATAATGAGGTTGTTTGCCTTCAGGTGATATACCATATACTTGCTTAAATACTAAAATCAAATAAGGCGCATCTTCCAGATATGTTTTACACCAGTTTGTATTCAATGCTTTGAGATCATTCACCCATCGACTTCCCATTCGTTTCCGATAATTAACTTCCTCTTCTTCTTCAACAATTTTTCTTATTTCACTTTTTACCTTAATAATAATAATCACAATTTATATCATTTTGCTCGGGCAAAACAAATGCTCTGGCAAAACTGGCGACAGCCGCCACTTTAATTTGCGAGTTGCCATTTTTGCGAGTTGATTCCCTTGATCAGTTGATGCGTTCCTATTTTACTATAAATTTATTTTTGTTCTTAATAATTTTACGTATTTCAGTCATAGATATCTCATATACACTAGATAGCGCATCCCACCCTGTAGCCGGGCGAAAATTGAAGCCTGATCGCAGTCGCATTTTACGCGAGGCGGCCATATTGGTCGTTCCCACGGAGCGTGATAATTTGTATATTTTGTATTGGCTTATTGCATTTTTTATCCGTACACCCCCTGTTGAGGACACACTGCATAAATTCTCCTACCCCCCGGATTTCCAAGTAATTTTTTGTCAGAAGCCCTGGAAAAATGTGGTTTGTAGAAGGGGGTACCTGGAATTCCAATTGTGTTTAATCAATGACCCTTGGAAATTCTTTTTTTTTCCGCATGACTCTGGAATTCCACTGTCAATAAGTTGATCTCCCCTGGAATTCCACTGTCAATAAGTTGATCTCCCCTGGAATTTCCAGTTCCGGTATCATTATTTTATCCCCTTTCCCGGAATTTCCATGTAAATCTTATTATTTTGACCCCCACCCACTGGAATTCCAGGATTATTTCGACCCCCACCCACTGGAATTCCAGGTTGGTTTGACCCCCACCCACTGGAATTCCAGGTTGGTTTGACCCCCACCCACTGGAATTCCAGGTTGGTTTGACCCCCACCCACTGGAATTCCAGGGTTAAATACAAGAGGCATCCCCTGGATTTCCAAGGTCCTCAACAGGGGGTGTACGGATAAAAAATGCAATATGCCATTGCGGAAATGGACAAAGTTGACCATAAATCCTCTTTTATGCAGTCAATTTTGGGTTTTTCAGTGTGGAACTTGTTGTCAACGATGCCAGATTGTTGAAGCTTCATAATTTGTGAATAACGGGTAGGCAAAATTTAATTATTTTTTCTGAAAATATCAATATTTGTCGACCCGTATGAAGGGCGGCCATATGACAATTATGGACAAACCATTGCGATTTTTCAATATTTTGCTGTTAAATATATCATGTTGTGTGTGGAATTAAGATTTTGATGCATATTCATATATAAATATAGGTCCACCAATTCCAAATAAGAAATTTTTAGCTAGTATCGCCATTGCTTCATGGCAAAATTGTAAATGTATTTGTGAAAGACGGCAACATTGAAAAACATTTTAGTCACAGTTTATCAATTATGGCAAAATTAGTCAATATAAAACATGGAATAAACCAAAACAAAAATTATTCTTTAAATACTTCTTAGCATGTGTATATTTATTTACATACAACATATCATGTATTATTTTATAGTTCCATGGAAATTGGAATCACATCATGATCAAAATCTATTAGAAGCTAGAGAGACGTAACTGACTGTTGTAAACACTGCGGAAGATTACGTTATCATGTACCCACTTTTTGTCAGGCGATCGGGCGAAAAATGATCAACTGCGCGTGCTCAGCAAGTTTAAAGTGAGTCGTCATCAGGTCGTCATCCAATCAGATGCATGCATCTAGTAACTTGCCAAGCATGCGCACAAAAAAAGTGGGTACACTAGTTACGTCTCTGTATGTCTCTACTCTGTGTCTATAGTAACGTAATTGCTATTGTTTTATGTAAATATAGTTGATAATCCAATGGTATGAATATGCTTCAAACTATCTTTAATTGATGTTAAGAAATATTTCTTTCTATTGAGTCCCGTGAGTACAAGACCTTTTGCTTTTAATTCAAGCAATCAAACTGCCAATTTACTGTCATAGGTCACTGTTTTAATATTAGTAATTTGTATTTTAGAACTGCTTTAGGCTAATATGGGAAAACCTGTTTTGTAATGACACACATTATTTCTTGCATTATTGTATAAGATCAGTGAAATAAACTGCTTGATGCACAGTAAATTTTATAATCTTAAATATAGTTACATTCATTATTGTATGAATAATTCTATTGTTATAATAAAATACTACTTTTGACAATGTGTAATAAATAGTGCTTTCCAATTCTTTGATTCGTATCAAATGCACAATATTAAACTTTTCTTAAAAAATAAACGAAATTTGCAAGTACTCTCAGGAATTAAAAACATGATAAACTCTCAATTTTAGCCCTTTGAGTTTAGTGGTTACTGTAAATATAATTAAAAAAACATGTTCAATTTAAAAAACATTTTTGGAGACTTGTGGCAGAGTTTTTACCATTTTGGCACCAATTGTAATTAAGTTGAGTTAAACTCAGCAAATTTCACAGCAATGGGAAAAGTTAGAGGTCCTCAGTGTTGTCAGTGGCGTGCTGGCAGGGGAGGCCGGGGGGCCACGGCCCCCCCAGCTGGCAATTCTTGGGGGGCGCAAAAATGAAAATGGGGCGCCGAATTTTGAAAGTGGGTGGGAAAAAACACATTCTCGAAAAAATATGGTTACTTCCGCCAAGAAAAGACGTGTTTATAGGCTACAGTATAAAAAAGACTATGCGCATAGGCGACATATATTAAATTACAGACTATTTTGCCTAACCGTATTTGCTACCTCACAGCTCACACGAAATCGTTCATATAGAAACATGATCAGTGATCACAGGCAACGTTTCATTACCGGAATATTGGTCAGGTTTCGATCGAAGCGATCACGGGAATTATGCCCTTTTTTGCTGGTATTATGCCCTTAAAATATGCCGTTTATTATGCTTCACGAATCACGAGAGCGGCGCAAATTAGATAGTTGAAGTTGTGTTAACTGATGTAAAGTTGTGTACGCAATTTAGTTGTTTGCACAAGAAGCATGAGTAATGTAAGTAATGAAATAATGCTGAAACATGCCCTTTTGGCAGCCAGACAAGGAAACCTTAAAATGCATATGCGTGGGGTGCGTGTGTTATTGTATAAAAGAGCTTTAAGTTGTAAATGTGCTCAGGACAGTAGATCAGTAGAGAACAGAATTGGGATTAAATTAAACGCTGGAAGTAGTTAGCATTGCATAATTTAAGTACTACTACTAAATTCTAACCAAATTGTAAATTTCGACACGTTATAATGCCGTTTCCTGACCATCTTCCCCCAAAGTCCAGGAAATGGCATTTCAGAGATTCTAAATTCAAAAATTTTCCTGGGGGGCATGCCCCCGGACCCCCCTAGACAAACCTCGCACCTGCGGCACTCGGCTCGTGCCTTCGGCCCTCGTTTCTCAATTGTAACACTATAGGGGCGCATATTGGGTGACAGCCCACTGGCCCCTCCAGAAAAATAGTACCCAGCACGCCACTGAGTGTTGTGCTTTCGAATGTTCCAAATGTAAAAAAGTCGGTCCTAAGTTTTCATAAAGTATAAGAAGTGATAGTGAAGGGTCAAGTGATGAAGAATCAAAACTCAAAAGAAAACTTCCCAGGACATTATGCATGTATACTATTTTATAGATTGAAACTAGACTTGCATTACATGATAAACATCCTTTACAGATTTCCTAAGGATAAAGTTCCAGCTTCTTTGTCTGATAAACATCCTTTATAGATTTCCTAAGGATAAAGTTCTGGCTTCTTCATTGTCCATACCCAGTCTTTTTACTGAGCTAGATCACCATCTTTTTGACTCACCAGTTGGTGAAAATCATGTTGTTCAGTTGATCAAGAACATCAAGAGTTACTGCAAAGTTAAATTTTATCATCTTGGAAAGAAGACCACTGAGAATTCATCTGGATAAAAAATTGGAAAGAAATTAAACAAACTTGTACTTTTTAACCACCAGTGATTTATACACAGAATGTATCAGAGGAAGTTAGTTATTACTAAAAATTTAGAGTGAAAACCACCCAAGATGAAAGTGCAGACTCTGTCTCAAACATTTTGCTAAATATTTACTATGAAACTGCCCAAGCTGAAAGTGCAGACTCTGTCTCAAACATTTTATTAAATATTTACAGTGAACAATGCCCAAGTGCAGACTCTGTCACAAACATTTTACTAAAAATTTACAGTCAACAATGCCCAAGCTGATAGTGTAGACTCTGTCTCCAACATTTTATTAAAGATTTACAGTGAACAATGCCCAAGCTGAAAGTGCAGACTCTGTCTTAAACATTTTACTAAAGATTTACAGTGAAAAATGACCAAGTGCAGACTCTGTCTTAATTAATTAAACATTTTACTAAAGATTTACAGTGAAAATTGCCGAAGCTGAAAGTTCAAAGTGAAGACTCGGTCTTAAACATTTTACAGTATAAACTGCCTTCGCTGATAATCTAAACGTTACTTACCAATTTTCTATTTCCATAAAGTGGTGCCAGAAACTGTAAGAAGATGTATATTATACGATATTTCACCAGAGAATCATTCACAGTTTGAATATGCACTTTACACTTGACAATATAAAGAATGCAGCATAAATTCGAAATTTTTAGCTTTAAAATGCGATTGAAAGACAACAACATGGCCAATTAATGTTTTTCTTGTAACCTTTTCCAAAAAAGATGCGATTTCAACGCGAACATCAAAAAGGTATTTTTAATCCACAAATGCAGAAAAGTATAAATTGACCTATTATTATAATGACTATAGACTAAAACTTACAAGGTTATATCCACTTGCATGTATACATATATAACCTTGTAAGTTTTAGTCTATAGTCATTAAGTCAATTTATCTGAAGAGTGCCACATTTTGTAGTACGAAACTATTAGTAATAAACTGCCTAGTGGATTTTGTTGATTGCTGTACCTTAATTTAAATATGCTCTGGTTTTCCATTGGGCACTTTACCAAAAGTTTTTATAACCAACGAAACCAAATCTTGGTTGTCAAACGTGGATCACGTTTCACAACGAAAAAAAAACTGTTTCACAATTCACGTGTCATAGAAAAGCAATTTCACTAAAAACTATAGACTCTGATAAAAATATCTACGTTTTGAAAGTTCTCTCACTTCTCTGCCTGGCAATTAAAAACTACATTATATTTTTGTACAATCGAGTGTGGTCGATCATATATGATTATTATCGCGTATATGCCCATTATGGCCATTATAAAATAGATCGAAATAAACAAACAGACATCCTTAATTCTCATTTCACGGAGCATTTTTATCGACAATCCCGCCTCACGGCTGTAGCACAAATCACATTTCACGACACTAAAATCAAGCATTATATTGACCACAAATCAACAAATATTGACCACGGCATATGAGATCATGCACGGCTCACGAAAATACCCTATCCCACCCTCTTTGTAAGAATTGGAAATATTTTGCCGTCCTTTTTCTGAACACTAAAGTAAATTAAAAACAAAACACTTAAGGTGGCTCGATACACTTTTCAAAAATTCAGGTGTTCAACACTTTGACATGTTCAAACTACGCATTTTTAGGATTTATTCAGTAGATATTATATTGGGGGTTTTATATATTTGGATATCTCTACTTTCAAATTATATTGGTTTTAGTAACAGGATAGTTCGTTGCTATGACGATATTCGTGTATGAAATTCACTCCAAAATGGCATATCGCCTCGCATAGTTGGAAAAGAAGCATGGTGACCCCATTTTCTTCGTGTATTATTTTACTTGGAAGAAAAACTAACAATTAGCAAAATATAAAAAAATTCTGGAATGCCATTTTTTTGGAAAATGCGAAAATGTCGTACTCTTCGGTAAAATGTTTTTGGCATTACAGAATTTTTTTATTTTCTGTATAATGAAAGTTTTTAGCGGTGCAATATGGCATGGAAAATTTGAACATAGGTCACCAGACAAAATAGAGAGAGATATAGATTATAGCGCATTGTTTTTCTAAAATGGAAAATTCTAATGACGTCAGCAATGGACCTATTACCAGGCTAATGAACAAAATTTTGATCTAGACAAGTCTAGACTGAAAATTTCATCACAGCTTGAAAGAGTATCACAAAATTAGTAATATTCCGAAGTTTCGTTGCGAAATGTTGTAAAATGCGGATAATATAGCCCTGCGAAGTTTGCCGTTTTTCAGTCATCTTGTATAACGCACGGGAATTTGATACCGCTTTCTGAAAAAAAGGTAAACTTCTAAACTCTTCTTCCTAAAGGTCCAGTAAGGACTTCCTTCATTGCCATATTGCCCATTGGTCCAGCGTTACTTAATAGTACAGGAGGAAACCAAGACTCAAGAGTTCCTGCATAACATTCTGTATGCGAGTTGGTCAAAGGATCAACAATAAAGTTTGAATTATTTCATTATTTTTGAACCTTTGGCTTTGACGAGATTGCCACCAATTAAATTTGAAAACATTTTATTCGCTTGCTATCGTATGGTATCGGTCATAGCCATAACGGCATAGGTTTTTTCTGTACATATCAAATAGAACTAAAATATATCAAGAGCGATGCCATGATTTGGAGTTGAAAGGCAATTGATTTCCAATGGAAAACCGATGTCCCATGGCTGATGTCCGAGCAAAATTATTAGTTCTGTAAGTATAGAGATCAGTGGCGTTATAGTTGTATATGTGGCGTATAGTGACGTCACAGTCCTCTGGTCACAGTCCATGGGGGGGGGGGGGGGGGGGGGGTAACTCTGGGAAGAAGGCGAATTGTGAGCGGGAAAGAAAACAAACCAATTTGTATTTCCAATTTATTTTTTTACATTACTATACCAGTGAAGTATCGTATTGAATTCAAAGGGAGGCTTATTTACGACACTTTCTTATAATGACGTCAAATGCGGAAAACCAATTTACCTATCAACCACAGTCCACAATGTTCTCTCTTGTTTATATTAAAATTTTATTCAAGTATGACCTTCGCCCCCTGAGGTGTTTTCGACCAATCAAAATGCTTACAGTAAGAGTGTTTTGAGAGGAGAATATACCAGTGGGCAATGGACATCAGAACTATCAAATTTCGGTCAGTGGACATCATATTTCGGCCAATGAACATCATTCAAGTTTCGAGCAGTGGACGTCAAATTTCGGAGGTGAATAGCAAAATCACGAAAACAGTAGGTAGAAAGCAATCGGAACATATTTATGGCGCGCACAATAATTAACTTATTTTACAGTTCCACATGTTCTTTCTGCCTAAAATGCAGATTTAAAAATATTTTTAAAGTTCTCATTTTCGAAATATTTCTTTGCCGTAATTTGGAAGTCGCTATCACGCATTTTGTTTTTTTTTCCTTTTTAATTAAAGATATTTGCTTATCTTGAAACCATGATTGTAATAAACCACAATAAGATCATTTACCTTGCTGTGTTCAAGTCCACTACACCGTTGTCTATGTCGGAAAATCATCTCGGAAGTTGTTTCCGAAATTGGCCTATTTGCATAAAATTATCAGTGCATGAGAAAGCGAATATACGAGGTACTGAGACATGACGTATCTATGGGGTAAAATGTGAATGAACAGTGCATGTCACCTATGTTTTTAACAGCTGATGGTAGCTGTGCATAAAGAGCCTACACAGAAGAAATGATAGTATAATAATATTAGTAATATTATTATACTATCGTTTCTTCTGTGTAGGCTCTTTATGCACAGCTACCATCAGCTGTTAAAAACATAGGTGACATGCACTGTTCATTCACAATTTACCCCATAGATACGTCATGTCTCAGTACCTCGTATATTCGCTTTCTCATGCACTGATAATTTTATGCAAATAGGCCAATTTTATACTACTAACGATAACACCGTAAGGTTTACCTTCGCGTCGGAAACAACAACAAAAGTCCATGGTTGCATATGGGCTCCAGATGGTGCTGTACCAGCTGTGTGGACGATGGTCTTTATAACATCAAGGGATGGAACCGGTTCTTTGCTGATAAACCTCACTGAACGACGTTTGTTCATGAAATTGTAAAAGTCCTGTGCTTGTTTCAACATTTCGGTTTCAGACATTCTGTTTGTGTGTTCGTACGGGATATGTTTTCCTTCGTCTAAAACGTACAGATCAGAGCCCAAATCTTCGGTTGAATCTTGCGCAATGGCTTCGTCCATCGATATCGTGTTGCTTTTATCTTTCTCTGCCCCCGCTTTCGATATATAACCTTTGATAAGCTTTGCTATGACAAACGAAATGCCCACAGACAACAAATGAAGCCAATAATGGCTTAAAAACGGCGCGTATAGCTCTATTTTGTCTTTCAAATCCAACATGTTTCTACATCTCCACTGAGGTTCTGTGACTGAGGTTTACTCTATGCTATATCTATGTTAGTCTCTTATGACAAAGTCTCTTTTTATCTATGTTAGTCTCTTATGACAAAGCGAGAATCCATTCGCTTTGTTTCAGGAGCCAATCATTTTGCAGTGATTTATGGAGTAAAAGCCAATCAGAATCGGTCTTCTACTACGTATTGCGACCACTGATCTGAAGATTGCGACCTCAAATGTTTTACTTGCATGACCTTGTTCTTTGTACAAGACCCATATTTTAAAAATTACAATATTCTGAATCGAATCGTAACTCGAATCCCATGCAACTCGGGTTACTATAATCAACTCCTTTAAAGTTAATATTTCGTTTATTCAAACCAGGGCCGCAGAGAGGGGGGCAAGGGGGGCAAATTGCCCCGGGCCCCTTGTTGCTGGGGGCCCCTGAAAATTTTTTGTTGGGCCCCAGCCTTTTTTGTGTGTTAAATATTTCCGCGCAAAGGACAAGATATCTGTTCTCTTGGGCTAAGTACCGAATTTTGGCATAAAAAAATGAGATAAAGTCCCTCGAAAGCAATTGCAACGTAGTCGTCCGGAAAAATTTTGTACTCCGGAAATTTTTTTTTACCCCTAAAATGGTACACTGACCGAACATTTTTTGGCGACGGGGGGTGGGAGGGGGGAGGTTGTTCTCCGGAAAAAAAATTTTCCGGGAAAATTTTTTTAGATAGGGGCCCCTAAAAAAAAATTTGCCCCGGGCCCCCGCCAACCTCTCGGCGGCCCTGATTCAAACCACAAAGTAAATTCCGCGTACAAGATTTACCATATCGGCTTAAGCTCTCTATATAGTACGGTGGCCCATAGCATAGGGGACATGCTATAAATATAAAAATCAGCCTTGGCCCTTTGGCTTTTTATGTAAATCTTCCTGAATTCTATTTAATAAGGCTTTCGGCCTTTTGTGTAAAGCCTTCGGAATTCTCTGTAAGGCCTTCAGAATTTGTAAGTATTAAAGAATTCGGAATTTCATGAAAGGGCCTTCGGAATTTTATGTAAGGGCCATCAGAATTTTATGTAAGGGCCTTTAGAATTTTATGTAGTACCTTTCATACGCATAAAATTTAAACAAGCATGGCGTACATCCCACAGAATGTATTCCCCAGTTCCTCTCATACACAATACGGGATATTATTTACGGAACAACAACACTCTTTCAATACCTCAGGCTAAGCACAAGACCAACAGGGCTAACAGTTTTATTATAGCCGGTAGTAAAGCCTATAACGCCAATATCTCTTATAAACCTAACCGTTAATAATTTTCATCATTCCTGATGATGACTAAAATCTAGTCGAAACGTCAAATAAAAACTTTTCAAAATGTTTACCGTTTTCTAAGTTACTATTGACAGTATTGTATTTTAAAAATTAAAACTAAAATACTCATTCATTCACTGGTTCCGGCAATTTCGTAAGATTCATTCACTGGTTCCGGCAATTTCGCATGCATATACTACATATATTATAGATTCAGATTTGTAAACCCATGCAATTCAGTTTTTCAACTGCAAAATTTGTAATAAAGCGATTCCTATTATTCATAGTACTTAATATTATACCTTAGTTTTATAAACTACGTTAAGGGTCCCTTAGATTTGACTTCTGGCAATAGACAGAGCTCACAATATTTGCGGGCTATAGATATAAAATTCCGAAGGCCCTTTCATAAAATTCCTAATTCTTACATAAAATTCTGAAGGCTTTACATAAAATTCCGAAAGCCATAGATCAAATTCTGAAGGCCTATAGATTTCAGAGAAGGCCTAGAATTCAGAAAGTGACAAATCACGATCAGAAATTGCACAGCCAATATTGCAAAGTTAATGCACATAGACAAAACAAATTTCATTAGCCCCTCTCCCCCAGTTCAATCAGGGCCGTAGCTAGAACGATAATTGGGGGGGGGGGTACACATTCATAAATTCGTGTTCTGCCCGACGGATTTCTTTTGAAAGCGATTGTTTTTACGGTATGTAAACATGAATATATGAATATACACCCCACCCCCCCCCCCCCCCCAAATTATCGTGTCTAGCTACGGCCCTGAGTTCAATAGAGAGTTTGGCAAATACATCGGCAAAGGCAAAGGCAACGGCAATATGGTCATCAACAATAGCATTAATCCTCAAAGAAAAAAGCCGAATGTAAACTGCATGGTCTTAAGCGTTGTGCAATGCCGTATAGTTGTTGAAACTACTACGTGATTTGCATCATTTTCACGGTGCATGCAGACTACGGCAACAGCTAATTCGTTCGATGTTATTTGAGGTGTTTTACTTGAATTCGCGGACTATTTACTTAAGGGTACGTTTAAAAGAAACGGGAATACTTAAAGTGGCAAATTAAGTGTAGTAACGTATACTTTGGCTCAAATACAACAATATACGCAATTATATTTTTTCCCGTTGCCATTGCTGTTCTAGGTTGCCAAACTCTCTAATGTTGTAAACAGCGCCAAAACAACTTTTGCGGAGAGACGTGTGCGCATGCGCAGGAACTAAAAAATGGCAAACAATTTAAATTTTATTATTAGTATTTATTGTATTTATCATCAATTACTCAATACTCATTCAAGATACTGGAAATCTCCACCACGAGGTTTTTTATGTTTTCAAGATGGCGGAACTAGCCGAGGTATGTATGAAACGGTCATACAACAATCACGTTCTTTTTTATGTTTTCGCTCATGAATTATTTAATGTTTTTGAAATTGATGAATCCAATGTAAACGAAACACAGATGTGGTTTTTAAAAACACTTGATCCAAGTTACAAGAAAAGCAGCAGAAACAAGCTAGAAAGCAGAATAAAGCCACTGCACGATTTCATGGATTGCTTGTGATGGATTTTCACTTTGGTGCCACATTTAAAGTTGCATCAATTTATAGAACAAATACCAGATACATGGCTTTGTGTTAACTCATAGTTAATAGAAAGTTTATCTTTCTATTAACTATGGTTAATTTAAATCAAATGTAAAGAAATTTGATGATCGCTTATCACGATGTGGCAAATTATGATAACTAATGGCATGACTCAACTATATGACGAAAACAAATTATTGAGATGCTAATTTTATAAAAATGTAGGGTTGAATGGATTGCATCACTTTGTTATATGGGTATGTTAAGGCAAAAATAATTTGAAATATATTTTTATTTTTCGTTTTTATTTGAGCAAAGCGTCAGAGCAGATAGAAATTCCAAGGAGTAAAATACTTGTGAAGGCTTCATGCGCTTCTCGCACATTCCAAGATCACAGAAATAAAACCATGTCAGTGCAGAAGTATAAATCATGAACTTTGGCGGAATTCTTTAATCTAAAATCTAACATTCAGAATAAATCAGAAGGGTCAAATGTTGTCCAACTTTCAGTCCAAGAGTAAAAAATAAAATAGCAGAATTATTATTTAGGTATAAAATTATTCTGCACGTAAAGTTCCTTCACATTTTGTAGAATAACCAATACAAATATAAACATTGCAAGGTCAGTTAGAAATTCAAGAATTTCCAAAATTATTATTTTAGCTGCATCTACGATTTTTGGTGACACTCCACATAGCTTTAAAGCCAACAACCAAATATTGACTTGCTTCCCTGGTGTAACCTTGGAAAAATATGAACAACATAATTGAGGAACTTATTCCACATTAGGTTATGTTACTGGGGGAAACGTTTGCTGAAAAGTTGCAACGAAATGTCGATTTGAAACAGAATTAAAGACATACTCGAGCACCTAGCAGATAAATGTCATGGCAGACAACATATAGCCGAACTTGTTACTTAAGAAATTCATGTAATCATAAGTTATTTGTGCTCAGATTTAATATCAACCCAAAAATAGCCTAAAAATATACAAGTTGAAGCATTCTGTGAGATTACCATTAGCAGCCGCCAAAAATGCAATCATAGGTACTCCATAGATCTAGCACAGTGCTCTGACCACTGAAGATTGTGCTGCTTCTCACCCAATGAATTAGTTTATTTGTTGTAGTTCATTATAGATGCCTGGGGACAAGGCAGATTCTAATTGATATTCTGGCATACATACTTCCTAGCATTGCATGTATTGGTACCAAATCAGTGATGGACATAAGCATAAAAAAGGAATCTTTGCTACTGGGGCTTGAAAAGACACAGCATATAGAGAGTATTATTTAGAAATGTCTTTTGGTTTAGAAATGTCTTAGTTTGAACTTCACTTTGTCTTTCACATGAATGTCAGTCGTTCTAGCTCTATATAGTTTCATAATAAAATTAAACAAGAAAAATAGTGCATACCTTTCTTATGGATGGTGTAAAAAACAAAACAATTTCCAAAATGCAAAATGGTATAATGAATGAAAACTAGATAGAAAAGTAAGAAGATCAAACTTGTTATTTGATCCTATTCCTTTTACCTGTTTGGAAAAGAGTTATACAGGGTGTCTAAAAAAACGCTATGGAAATTCAACAGGCTGTCATGCATCATAAACGTGGCTAAACAATTAAATTTTTACATACGACGAAAGAACAGTGTTACTTATAGCTTTTCAATGATACTCTTTTTAAATCATAACGATGAGAAATGGCCACATACTCGTCAAATAAAAATTGCCGGTCGAAATCACATTCTTCCACCATTGGGAATTGCATGGAAAACGAAACATAGACAATTCCCAAGAGGGAATTAAAATTGAATGTTAAATGATCTAAAATGAGCTCAACTCGTCAATCTTCGTCTTAGTGAGACAATAACTCAATAAGAACATTCATTATACACGGTTCAATTAACCCCTGAACAGAGAACATTAGTATAATCAAAACGTTTTACGAAACAAATAGCTTGCAGCAGGCTCGCGTTGCTTTTGGAATGACTAACTTTGCATAATTAATGTATTTCAATTCCCAATGGTGGAAGAATGTGATTTCGATCGGCAATTTTAATTTGACGAGTATGTGGCCATTTCCGATCATCGTTACGATTTAAAAAAGGTATCATAGAAAAGCTAAATAACAGCTCTTTCATCCTGTGTAAAAATTGAATTGTTTAGCTAAGTTTATGATGCACGACAGCCTGTTGAATTTCCATAGCGTTTTTTTTTTAGACAGGGTGTCTAAAAACAGTGCAGTGGTAAACATTTAGCTACACTTTCTGTACATTGTACTGTACATTCAATTCAATTCAACACCTAGTATACCTGTTCACTCACAAACAAAATGCACCATTGAAAAGCAATTACATACTGTAATAATTATTACAGAATGTAAAACATAAAATTGTTTTAAAATGGTTAATAAGAGAAAAAGTTCTAATGCAGTGTTAAGTGCCCAGTTTGATAGTGTCCAGTCCTCTAATTATAATTCACTCATAGAAACTGATAGATCTGTAGTGTCATGCATGTGTAAACAAACTAGGTTACCTTTAAACAGTAAATAATTCTGGATTGCATAAACAATAAAACTCAGGGGTCAAAATTTACGTTATTCCATATAAAGTAAAATGCCTGATGGAACAGTAAACTTCATTATTTCAGTATTCTGTTTGTATGTGGTTGGTATCAATTTATAGTATTAGTACATAATAACTTTTTTGTTAAGTTTGTTGATTTCATAGTTCATTTTTTGTTTTCTTACTTATAATATCCGGACATGGCAACCGACAGACATGCATGCAATCAAGTGCACCGCGCACGAAATTAATAATTCATGTTTAAGTTCGCCCTCCAAGTCAGTTAAGTCTAAAAATCAAAGACTTTCAAACACCCCGGTAAAGAAAGTTGAAAAAAAAATGTAATGAAAAAACGATGGAAGATTTACACAGCATGATGGAAGTCACGATGACCCAAATGAAGAAGCTAGACAAGCTCGATATCATAGAAGAAAAGTTACAATCGTTCGAAAATGAACTCCAAGGCGTAAAGACTCTTTAAATTTTGTACACGCCGAAGTAGAAGAATTAGAGAAAGGTGGCACCGCACACAAAGAGTCTGCTGAAGAATTGAAAAGCAAAGTGCAAATGCTTGAAAACGAAAACACGAGGCTCAACAATAGCGTGATTGATCTCAAAGCGAGATCGATGCGTGATAATCTGTTGTTCTTCAACATTGAGGAACCCACAGGAGAGGAAAAAGAAGACACGACGGAGATCATTCTGGCGTTAATTATTGGAAGATAAACTGGAGTCTGGAGATTCCCGATGCGCGCAACAAGGTAAAGATCGATAGATCCACCGATTGGGTCCGAAGCGCCGAAATACGCAAAGTGGTCAACAGCGACAGCAGACCACCAACAAACCACGACCAATTGTCGTGAAATTCAATTATTTTCAGGACAAAAGATGTTTTGAGAAACACGAAAAAATTGTACGCCATCATGAAGGAAGCGAGACAAGCGGGTAAGCATGTGAGATTGGCTCGTGACAAACTGTACATTGATAGGCATCTATATCGTCCTATATTAACTCTTAACTCTAGAGCATTTATTGGTAGGCCTCATTATAAATTTCCTTCAAATACAAGAATAATAATACAGCATTATATTATTCATGGACGTCTAAAACAATGCTTCCATCATCATGCACTCCTATAACTTCGTATTTGTTGTATATCTATATTATTGTAAAACTATATCACAACTTTTTTTTAAATTTTATGTACTATATATTAACTGACATATAGCTATCGTTTGAATTTAATATTTGCTGTAATAGGGGCCTTGCACTAAAAACTTCTTAAAGTTTCTTAAAGGCTCCTAGCTCTAGTATTCAACTGACGTTATACTGTATATTCTATCTTAATTATGTAAATAGGGCGAATTTTTAAATTAAAAAAAAAAAATAATGATCCTGTTCTGCTGGTTTATTCATAGATTCTCCATGTATCTTAATACTGTTTTATGGTCGTTTCGTCCCCTTGTTGTTTCGCCCCCTCTCCGTTTCGTCCCCTTTACGTTTCGTCCCCACATTAGATACCGTTTTATCTATAAACCACTTTATATTACTTTTTCTATGAACTATATATACATAGGATATATTTATATTTGTTTCTACTTTGATCACTCATAATTTTGTCATCATGTCACTATTATAAACAATACGATGACCGAAACGAAACGGTCCCACGTGTATTATCCAGGCATACAATCCACTGAGATACAATCTCATAAAACAGAATTATGATCAATACAAGAAAGTGTTGCATCCATAACAGAATAAAAAAGCTTGCTGTCACTGAGTCATGCAGTCAGGGCCGCGTTTACACAACTCGAGGCCTGTGGCATTTTCTTCGCGCGGGGCCTCAAATTTTTGCCTTATAGACTATAACCTGGAAATTTACTTCGTTTTAAGCATAAATCATATAGCGACGTGGCGTTCGCTTTCCATATAGCAACTCTAAAGTCTGAGACAAAATTAGAGACTTGGTATTTGAAATTAACTTGGTATTTGAAATTTTTTATTTATTATTACTCGCTGGGGCACCTGTGCCCTGGCGAGTATAGGTTTCGGCTCACATTTTTCTCCGATTGATAGCCACAAAATAGAATACTAATGAGCCCAAATTATCCATAAGGCTCCTGCTAATTTTTACCCAAATTATCCATAAATAACCCTAAGTTTTGAGAAAAATTCAAGAATTTTACTAAAAAAGCCAAAGCTGCTATTTATTTTAACCAGTATGAATATGTTTACGTTCTTTTAAAACTGATATTTTACTGCATTGAGGATTCAACGACAAGAACAATGAATTTGGAGATGTATTAATGCCAAATAAATCCTGTTAAGCTGTCAAAATGACATCTTATAGCCCGACAAGGACAGAAATACAAAGTCAAAGACAGCGATGCACAGGAACAATTGTATGAAATATAAATTCGATATATAAAAAAATTGTTGATTTTAACGGACACGACTTCGAAAATTTTTGCAAAATTATTCAAAACAAAAATTCAAACTAAAAAGTTAAGAAAACTCTCGAAAAGTTAAGCTTCTTAACCCACTCAAATTGTAGAATAAATCCTAAAGTTTAATTATTGTGAACACGAAAATTTTTTATATTTGGCGACACAGTTTTTTTTAAAAAAATGTATTTCAAACGAAAATTCGGAAATTGTCGTTGCTTAGTTGATAAACAAAATGTTTCAGACGATAAATTTGTCAACAATCACCTTTAGTTCATGTTCTTGTACAATACAATTTCTTGAACCTTCTGGCTGTATTTATTCCTAGTTTTTTGAATGACATGTTTATTTTTGCGCCCGAAATCTGGCTGTAAAGACGCACAATGAAGTCACTCCTTTTTACCGCCATTTTGAGCCTTCGGAAACGTTCGGAACAGCATCTCATCAAGTTCGCAATACTATTACAGGTAAGGTTGACGCATGCGCAGACGTTTTTCTGAATGACATATCTTCATCATCACTTGGAGTTGTAGTAACTGGTGAAGATGGCGCTGAAGAATCCTCAGATGGTGCGGGCGAGGAAGGGATTCAGAAAGGACTGGTGCTTCTACAGAGCTTGACGAATCCAAGTATCTCTCGGCAAGCTCGGTTTTCAGGAAGGCAGAGAACTGTAATAGCTCGTCTGAAAGACTCGGCTCAAGGTCACCTGGGTAAATTTTACAAAGCTGATTTGCACTCAGTGTCAGTTTGTCGTCAGGTAGCTCCTTCATAGTTCTCAAAAATCCAAACCTTGACGCAACAGTGGCGTATGCTTCCTTAAGTTTCTTCAACTCAGCAACCAAATTATCGATAATAACCAAAAACGTTGCCGTTCGAAACTTATCAGCAGGTGTAAGTTCTACTTCCGGAGCTGATCCTGGTTCATCATAACGACGATTCCGCTGGCGATTTCGTTTCATTTCGTCTTCGTAATGTTCGCATCCACTGAGCAATTTTCCTTCAGCCTCGAACTGCTCAAATTTTGGTCTCATATTTTTCACGTACTCTTCCAGGGATTCATAAATAGCAGCAGCCGAGTTAATGTCTTGATCCGAGGATTGAAGCAATTGGCTGTTACTGTTACGCTTCAAGATACGGTGCCATACCAGCGTAAGTATGCCAGTCTCCAAACGATCTATATTGGAAGCGTGATTAAGAACTTCTTTTCGAGTGTCTCCTTTCTGCTCTGGGTCTGCAGCAATCTCTTTCAATCCAGCTTTGATTTCTCCGTAGCCCTTGACCACGGCTTTAACAGCGGCGACATGCGCTGACAAACGAGTGTCTGACAGACGTTTGACTGTGGGCAAGCCTTTTTTCTTCAGCCGATTATGGACTACTTTCCAACGGTGTGTTGAAGCGACGAGGAAAGAATATATAAACCTTGAACAAAGCCAAAAAATCCGACAGATTCCAGACAGCAACTTACTGCTGATTGGCCGACTAAATTGAGAATGTGCGGCGCAAGGCACATACTCGGCAAGTGGGCACTTTTGGTGAATAACAGCTTGATGCATACCGTCATATTTTCCACTCATGTTGCTGGCATTATCATATGATTGACCCCGACAATCAGCAATGTTCACATCATGTCTTGTTAAAAAGCCAAGTAAACTTTCCGCCAACACTTTCCCAGTATGGCCCTGCATATCTAAGAAAGCCACAAAGCGTTCCACAGGACCCGATGGCAGAACGTACCGGAGAATGCAAGTGAGTTGGTCAACATGAGAGATATCTGGGGTGGCCGAATCAACCGAAACAGAGAAATACTTGGATGCTTTCAGTTCGTCTAAAATATTTTGAAGAACTCGCTTGGCCATTAAATGGACGAACTCCTCGCAAACCGTATTGGAAAGATACGATGTATGTCCTTGGCCCTTGTTAGCTTTCTGATTGATATGCTGAGCCATAAATGGATCGAATTTGGCCAGCAGCTCCAGTGTGCCAAGGAAGTTACCGTTGTCGACGGAACCAATTATCTCTCATTTGTACCACGAAAAGCTAAGCCTCGCACTGAAAGGTGGCGGATAGTCTCTGCTACACGCTCTAAAACAGAACGCCAATAATCACGTTCTGCCTGTTCTTGCCGAATCAATGCGGCATCAACACGATTGCCTGCGTCGCTGCGCAGTAAAAGTTGAACTATAGTATTTCTATGTCCGGCGCTTTTTTCATGGCGTGAAATTGCTTGGGTAGCACGTTTCCAATCTTTGCATCCCAGTTTTCCAAACAATTCAACGTCTGTCATCACTTTACATGGGAAGCAGTAGATGGCTAGCATAGACGGTGAAAAACAAAGCCAGTTACGCGGATACTGCTGTTTTGTACACGAGTGTGCGAACGTGAATAAACTTTTCTGGCATTGTCGATTATACTTCTCTCCTTCAAATCTTGTAGACGTTGCACTGAAGTCGGCGTCCAGATTCTGCCATTCACTACAAGCTTCCTTTAGTATTCTCTCATATTTTCAGAAACAAGGGTAGGCCACAAGCCCAAGTCAGGTATAAGTATGAAGGACTGTTAAGGTTGGTTGTATATCAATATGGTCATCGTCGCAAACCGATTTACATTCAGCTGCAACTTCAGTAGTAGTATCAACATAATGTGTTTTGTGTTCCAATTCCTTAAAGATTTCAGGATTCAAATTATCTGCCAAATGAGTACCGCCGACAATGTCCACTGTCTCGAGAACCGCACTGTTACTTGTTTTAGTAGCGGAAAGCATTTCAGAAATTTTTGGCATTTTAGACAGAACTTTTTTTTCCCTTGCTGCTCGCTCTTCTTTCGCCTTACGTTTTCCTGAGCCTGACTGATATTTACGTCCCTTGTCGCGATCTCGGCCCCCTCCGCCACCAGCAGAATTCATTTTGTGCGGAGTTTACCAATTTATATCAGTTTACGTACAAAACATTCAATAGTAGATACGCATGACTGGCTCCTCAATCACTTTTATGCTGAACTTTTATGCTTTTATGCTGAACTTTTATGCTTTTATGCTGAAGTTATTTTTGGAAAATTACGTGATCCATAAATGATGTAACGCTCTAAAGTTAGTGCGCAATGTTTAC